GGTTTGGAGCTCAGTGAAAGGGCATGGGTTTTATGAGTAGAAGATCTGGGTTTCAGCTCACTGGTCCTCCAGGCAGACCTTGGATGAACCTTGTCTCAAAACGCTACAGACCTCCTGACAGCAATGAAGACCCAGGACAGTGTCTGGCCCTCTATATTATTCCATTGCAACTCCTGGATGACAAATGATGAGAAGCAATAAGGGCTGACATTCCATGGTATCTCTTGGATAAGGCTGCCCACTCCTGGCATTGAAATGACCCATCGCGTAGACTCAGTTAGAAGGAACTATGGGAGGACTCAATGGCTGAAATCCAGGAGTCAGTTGCAACCAGAGTAGACCCATTGAATCAGTGGAGATTTGGTAAGGCAACTCTTCCATAAGCTTCGTTGATTCAATGGATCTACTCTAGGTTGGTTATCGGCTAGATTGCGGCCAATATAAGGCAGTGTCTTATGTTTCTAACTTGGGAATGTTTACATGCTATCTATCACCCTAACCTTAAGCATATGTTTTTCCACCGAATGTTTATCCTTCACTCTCATAGCCAATGACTGCTAGCTTCTGTGCACACAGAAAGCTGAGCATACGACACTGCCCGCCCCCAACATTGCTTAGATAAGTGAGTATGTGGGAGGAAAGCAATGGGCTGATGATTCTTCCCATATGGCCTGTACACATAAGAAGTGGAGCACTGCTACCATAACATGCTTTTTTAAAAAAGAAAGAAAGGTCCACCAGGCAGTACCGTATTTTTCTGTGTATAAGACTATATTTTTATCTAAAATCTTTAGACTAAAAATTGAGGGTCGTCTTATACACAGAAGTAAGCTGAGGAGAAAACAAAAACAAGTGGAGGGAAAAGCAGGGATCAAAGCGATCCTGCAGTGCTTTGATCCCTTTCCCCCTACACTTGCTAATTCCCACTTAAATGTCTTAATTTTGGATTAGAAAAGTGGTGGGCCCATCTTATACATGGGGGCGTCTTATACATGGAAAAATACGGTACATGGTTTTTTAGCTCACCCAGAGTTGCACAAGAACACAACTGTGTGATTGCACACCACTTACGGATTTCAATGCCATATTCACAAGTAGTGTTCTCAGTGTAATACACCGAGAACCTAGAAATGAGATTTTTGCATGGTAGCTCCTAAAATCAAGTTTCTCAAGCAGCATTTGTTTGCACCAATACGTAAATTCCCACCCAGTAGTGATTGTATTTTTAAACAGAACCGACACTATCATAAAACATTTCCAAACCCACTCAGTGTTAGCAGAAAGAATGCAATCTTTGAAAGGAAATGCTTACAAAACATTATCATTGTTGATTTTATATAGATAAGTTATATACAGTGATCCCAAATACTTGCTTTCTGGTGACATTCAGTTGCTACTTCTATGTGAGAAATACAAGTCCTTTAAGTTTTTCAATTTATACCTGAGATGGGGTTGGGTTTTTTTTGTTTTTTTTTTGTTTTTTTTGCATAAGGATGTCCTTCATACAGGATAATATTGTACACCTATGTGCCATCGTATATCTTCTGAACCAAAGGCCATTCACATCAAGTGGAACGTTTCCACTGATTTCTCTAGCATTCCATTCCAGACATACTGGTATAACCTGGATGGATTTAAACATAACCAGAAGATAAATATGGAAAATGAAATGGAAGTAAGCAGGTTACTTGATCAATGTGATAAAATGGCATTGTACAGGTACAGCTCGATTTTCAAAGTCCAGCAGATAATCCAAGGCACACCTAGTGAATAGTCGCCTAAACTTCAGTTTCCAAAATAAAACATGAGAAGGTTCAAACATTCAGAAAGTCAAGTTTGAGTGCTACTTTTCAAAACTGCTGCCAATTTTGTGTGTGTGTTTGTAATTTTGCTTTAGCCCGAGGGTTAAGCCGAACTGACTCTCATTTCCTCTTCTGTGGGGAGCTCCAGATTGTATATAGAGATGAACATGAACTGCCAGTTCAGTGGATGTGATGGCTCAGTTTTTGGCCGAAAAGGGTATTGGGCAATTCCCAGCCCCACCTCCTCTGGCAGGCGGCCAGTCACAGGCAGCACCCCAGCATCCCTGCCCTGCCTCCTCTGGGCACTGCCTCTGAGTGGGCGCCTGCTAGAAGAGGCAGGGCTGAGAATTGCCCAATACCCTTTTCGCCGAAGAACAAACCAGCGCAAACTGTCAAACCAGAGGTACGTGCCCATTTCTAGATGCAGTTAAAGTATGTCCACAGCATCCTTTCCAAAATACAACCCATAGGATTCTTTAGGGAAAGGAAATACATGCGAATAAGCCCTTGAGGCTAAACCCAGTTAAAACGGAACCGTCGAATCACTGGGATTCACACATGTTCCTTTCATTCAGTAGCCCTCCTGTATTTGGGACTGGATCGAGTTAGCTCACAGATAGAGTTTTACTTTTTACCCAGGCAGATCTACTACACTTATTCCCCTTACTCTCCTGTGTAGTATCACGAGTACCAGAGATGGAGGAAGTTAGGTTTCTTTTTATCGGACTCCACCTGCTAGAACCCCACAACCAGCAGAGCCTCCTCAGTGCTGCTTAGATCATAATTAAAACACTTTGATATAGGAATCAAAGCTGCGCTCCCACATTGTCCTGAGAAGAATGTTCTCAGCCAACTACGAATCCCTTGATTGCTCTGTATGGAGCAATGGCCATAAGATGATGGAACTGGCATAATATAATGCAGACACCTGGCATGTGCATAACTCAAGGACTGGGGGACAGTGAGAGAAACCAACCAACCAACCAACCGCTGTCTCTAAAATTCTCTTAAGCCATTCAGTCAGAATTTCCCACTCTAGATTTGTTGAATCGGCAGGCTTTCTTAAAGAAGTTCTGGAAGTGTTTGGACAGCATTAGGTGGCATCCAGCTATCTGGATGTTCACATTGACAATCGCTTCTTTTTTTTAACTTCAGGTAGTAGAAGAACTTGAAGACAGAACGGCAAACAAATAAACAAAACTACATATATTAAGGCAAATAGTTAGATACATGATCAATAAGCAACGGAAAAATAACCAACGGAAAATGACCCATGGCTTCCACATGGATGTTTTTACACATGCAATGATATTGTTGCATTGAGGTAACATCTTAAGGGCTCAGCTGGGTTCACAGTCACATGAATAACGTGGATTTCCTTCCTCTGCAGCTTCAGAGATTGCCAAGGCAATCCCAGGGAAGGTATGAAATGATTCTTCAGGCGCATTATGTAGTGATTTCTCCTGCCTATAATCTATGGAGAAATCTTGCTATGCTGAGGACGCTTTCTCAATAGTTTGGACAAGTATAACCCCTCACCATTGGTCAAGCTGGCTGGATTTGAGGGGAGTTGTTGCTTAAGACGTAGGAAGTGCCCCAGCTCAGCTTTGCCCCGTTCTACACAACGGCAATAGCTCAGCCAGGGCCTGATGGATCAGACGCACAAGGTCCGTCTGTGCCACGATGCTGCTTTCCTACAGCGACAGACCACACAATCATTGCTTTCCCATTCTGCCCACGTGAGAAAACGGGAGGAGGCACTTGGGCACATTGAAAACACACGTTTAGTAAACATGCCATGCACAAAATGGCCAGTCCGCGTAGACTGCCCGATCAAGAGAAGTGTGGAATATTCTATTGACAGATATGTACACCTTGATGAAAAATGTCTCCAGCGGAGGGGCCCTTCATGGATCCAGAAACTTCTGCCTCCCCTTCCAAGGGACAGCGACCACACTCAAGAGCAGGCTAAGGACATGTCCCCCAAGTGTTAAAAATGCTATTTACAGTGTCCAAAAGTGTCGTTTTAAAAGACTTATAGATATGGGTAAGACATTCCCAGGTCCCTGCTAATCCTTAGGCTGATCTGCCATTTCTCTTTGGGCTTGGTCACATTTACCAAAATGGAAGGGGACCCAGTTATTGGTACTCTCCTTTATTTCCAAGCAAAAGTATTTGCGTCTTTTCATTTAATTCGCTTACTGGCAGGGTGTGTCATTGGCAGTGGAATGAGGAGAACGCAATCCACTTAGAAGTTCCCCCTCCCTATACCCTGTTCACGCAAATAGGTGCCACTTAAATCACGGTTTATTTCAATGGGGCTCACAGAGAACTTTCTGCTGAGTTGTGCCCTGTATAATTTCACTCTGAAATGGGGCACCCAACAGAGATTTTCTTTCTTTTACCCGAGAAGCACTCTAGTTTACTCGACAGGCCCTGTACAGCTCCACCTGCCATTCTCTGGGCTAGGGTGGGCGTTACTAGGGAGTAAACCAAACCTTTTCCTGTGCTAGAGGGTAAGCTGCACCACACTGGAAAGAAAGAAAGAAAGAAAGAAAGAAAGAAAGAAAGAAAGAAAGAAAGAAAGAAAGAAAGAAAGAAAGAAAGAAAGAAAGAAAGAAAGAAAGAA